AAAAAAGCCTACTTGGGGCGAAACGTAGTCAATAAAGGATCACATTATACTGCTTTTGTGTTATATTTCCTTGATAGGTATTTTATCCATTTATTCCCATCCAAGATCCCAAAAAATTTGCAGTGTCTGACAGTTTGTAGATGAAGGTTTTCAGAGAACCACATGCAGTGGTGTTGTTACTTAGCTCTGTGAGACCTGTTTGTGTGCTCTCTGTGAATCTAAACCCGGGATCCCCCTCTCTTTAGCATTTTTACCGGGAGCTGAAGAAAATCAATTTGCTAAATTTGATACGGCGATTAAGGAGGAAAACAAGGGGATTATAGTAACCTCCTTTGTGAGTCCCGGTTAAGGGGGGAGATTGGTCGGGGGGGCCGGCAACAGGGAACCAAGCGGGGAAGTTTAAGAAAACGGTTGGAAAGGCAGAAAAAACGAAAAACCCAAAGACTGCCGTGGAAACTTCCAACTCTTCCCGGGTGCTACGACAAAATGGAGTGTTCTACGGGGGAATGATACAAACGAGCCCCAAAGGGAACCCTTTTGGCAGACGGATTGAGACATCAAAAAAACCCCCAAGAAGACCATCGGAACGTCAGACAAATTTACAAGGGGTGTAATGCCCCGGGTGAATGTGATGACTATCGGAGAAATCACAGGGACGACGCCAAAAAGGGGTAAAAACATTGGGTGTTGTTGGGGATAGCCAGTTTTATACATGGATGGGCATTCTTTTTGAAGGTAGGAGTGGAGGCAGAGAGTGTGTTTTCCTGGGGCTGGGATGAAGGTTTATTGTTAGCCGTCTGGATGAATCATGGAGGAAAATGGGAGCAATCTATTACTGTCTCGTGGGGGAGGAAACGATTTTGGGCGACTGGGAGGAGGACCTGATTAGCGGGTATAGGTCAGAAATAGAGATAATTAGGAAAAGGTTGGAAACCTTCATATGTGGCATTTTCCCAAAGGGAGGGATTTGGAAATGAATGCTTGTCCAAAAAATTTTGGGTGTAAATTGCTGCTGGACAAATACTGAAAGGAAAAAATGCAGTAACATTCATTGACAACTCGGACCTTTTCTATGGCAGAAATGACATGTTGCCCGGGATGGGGTTTACTTGCTAGGTTGGGGGTGGGAGCATGGCCAACGCGTGGGGGGAGCTTTAGGTCTTAAACTTGGAATATTAGGGTAGGGTTTTGGCGGGAAAACTGTGAAGTCGCAGGTAGTAACTGAGCAAGAGAACTATAAAAGGCAAAATGAGGGGGATATTGGGAAAACCAGTGGGACTAATTTACAAGACAGTAATAGGTTTAGTGGGAAAAACAGAAAGGAGCATAAAGGGAAAGAGAAGGAGGGGCATTAAATATTTTTCACAAATTCGCAGTTATGAATAAGATGGAAGATTGAGATATGCTAGTGCAGGTAACATAGAGTATTTGCCCCTTTTGGGAAAGTGGTTTAATTCAAAAATCGGGACATGCCTCAGAATGTCCATTAGGGGTTTTAAAATTTTTCCAATAGATAGAATTCGGGGAAGGGGGGGGGGGGATTGATGTCCCGGGCGCTTGAACTGTTTCATAAAAAGGGTATTAAAACGAAGTAACACTACAGAGTTGTTTGGATTGAATTTTCGAGGGGCTGAAAATTAATTTTTGGTGTGATATACCATCCCCCCAAAATTTGATAGGGGCCAGGGGAGATACTATGGGAGGAAATGGTTAGGGCCACAAGGCACGATAATGTAGTAATCCTAGGAGACTTTAACTTTAGTCATATTGATTGGAATTTCTTGACTGGGAATTTAGAATCATACGATTTCTTAGAAGTAGTTCAGGATTGTTTTTTGAAGCAGTTTGTGACAGAACCTACAAGGGGTAATAACCTGCTTGACTTAGTTCTGGCAAACAATGAATCCCTTGTTAATAATTTAGAAGTTTCAGAGGAACTGGGTGCTAGTGACCACAAATCAATTACATGTAGAATTGAATGGAAGTATGATAGTAGGGATAACTCAGTAACAGTCCCAGATTTTCGCTTAGCAGATTACGATGGGCTTAGAGAACACTTATCATCTGTTGACTGGGGTAACGAAGAGAGCTATCAATATGACAGTTTTCTGAACACAATACATGCTGCTCAAAGAACGTTTATCCCTTATAAGGAAATTAGATCAAATAGAAATGACCCAAAATGGATGAATAATAGGCTGAAATATCTACTAGGGCATAAGAAAGGATTTATAAAGCGTATCAAAAGAGGCGAGGGTCATCTTATGAATCAGTATATTGACATTAAGAGGGACATTAAAAAGGGATAAGAAAAGCTAAAAGGGACTATGAAATTAAAGTTGCTAGGGATTCTAAAACTAACCCAAAAAGTTTTTTCCAGGTCTATAGAACAAAAGTCAGAGATAAGATAGGTCCCCTTAAAAACAACTATGGGCATCTTATTGACAAAGAGAATGAAATGTGCTCGGTTTTAAATAATTATTTTCTCTCGGTTTTTACACAGGAAGACACTAATAATATTCCGGTAATTAATTTTTATAGTGGATCAGAAGAAGATAAATTATGTAACATCACAGTCACTAGTGAAATGGTTGTGAAGCAGATAGACAGACTGAAGCAAAATAAGTCACCGGGTCCTGATGAGGTTTTTTCAAGGGTTCTAAAGGAATGCAAAATGGAAGTCTGTGAACCATTAACTAATATTTTTAATTTATCTTTTCAAACAGGTGCAGTGTCTGATATGTGGAAGATGGCTAATGTAATTCCTATTTTTAAAACAGGGGACAAGTCGTTACCGTCAAATTACCGCCCAATAAGCCTGACCTCAATTGTAGGCAAATTACTAGAGTCAATTATAGCTGAGATTATAAGAAGCCATCTCGATAAGCATAGCTTGATTAATGATACTCAGCATGGATTCACAAGAGGCCGGTCTTGTCTAACTAATTTATTGACTTTCTTCAGTAAAGCTTTTGAGGCTGTTGACCACGATAAAGAATTTGATATTATTTACTTAGATTTTAGTAATGCATTTGATAGAGTTCCGCACCAAAGACTTTTGAAGAAAGTAGCAGCTCATGGCATTGGGGGAAGGGTGCTCTCGTGGATCGAATCATGGCTCTCAGACAGGAAGCAAAGAGTGTCCATAAATGGGGTTAAATCCGAGTGGGGATCAGTAACAAGTGGCGTTCCACAGGGATCAGTCTTGGGCCCGTTGTTGTTTATAATATATATCAATGATCTTGATGAAGGAATTACTAGTGATATGAGCAAATTCGCCGATGACACGAAGATAGGTAAAGGGTAATTGATTCAAACGTAGATGTTAGGGAACTTCAGGAGGATTTAGACAAACTCTACTCTTGGTCAGAAAAGTGGCAGATGCAGTTCAATGTAGATAAATGCAAGGTTCAGAAGCTCGGGAGTGTCCATATCCCTAGCACTTATAAGTTAAATAATGTAGAACTTAACCATACAGATTGCGAAAAGGACTTGGGGGTTATGGTAAGCAGCAACCTTAAACCAAGACAGCAATGCCTAAGCATACGTAATAAAAGGGAAATAGATTACTGGGATTTATATCAAGAAGTGTAAGCAACAGAAGTCCAGAGGTCATACTGCAGCTTTATACATCATTAGTAAGGCCTCACCTAGATTATGCAGCTCAATTCTGGTCTCCATATTACAAAATGGACATAAATTCGTTAGAAAACTTTCAGCGTAGGATGACTAAATTAATACACAGCATTAGAAATCTTCCTTATGAAGAAAGATTGAAGACTCTTAAGTTACATTCACTTGTTAGACGAAGAATGAGGGGAGACCTGATCGAAGTGTATAAGTGGAAGATAGGTATTAATAAAGGGGATATTAACAAGGCCTTGAGGATATCTCTCCAGGAGAGAACCCGCAGTAATGGATTTAAATTAGATAAGTTTAGATTTAGAAAGGACATTGGTAAGTATTGGTTTAGAAATAGGGTAGTAGATGAGTGGAACAGTCTACCTAGTTGGGTTATTGAGGCTAGGACTTTGGGTAGTTTCAAATTTAGGTTTGATAAATACATGAGTGGGATGGGTTGGATTTGAGTGGGACTTGCACATCAGAGCTTATTTCTTGGGTACCATTGAAAATTGGGTAGGTCAAATGTTTGTTAGTGCGATGAATTGTAAAGGACCTGCCTAGTATGGCCCAACAGGCCTGCTGCAGTGTCCCACCTTTCTTATGTTCTTATGTGCAACTCTTGGGTATCTTTATTGAGGAAACGTTTCGCCACACAGTGGCTTCATCAGTCCA